TATTCATTGATAACCATAAATCTGTTATGAAGATGGCCAAGTTGTCATTTACACCCATACCTCTCCTAAATCCAAACTGGCTTTTAGGAAGTAGATCATTGTAGTAGCTTTTAGAAAGTAGATAGTAGATAGTCCAGTAAACAGATATCGGTGGAAAATTAAAGATGTAGATTGGTCAGGTTACGCGCAAACTGTAGACAGAATGTTGTCGAATACTAATATCAACCCCAATCCGATGATTTCCTATTCCAAGTTTATTGAATGCATTAATAATGCAGCACTAATGAATATTCCAAAAACAAATCCGTATTTGGGTACGAAATATAAAAATATGGCAAATCCTTGGTGGGGCGAGGAGTGCAACAAAGTGAAGAAAATTGAATAGGAAGCAATAAAGAAATATAAAGAAATACCAAACATATATAAAATACAAGCGAGCGGTAGCTAAGTGTCGATTTGTATTTAAAAAGAAAAAATACGATAAATGGACAGAGTTTTGTAACCTCTTCTCCAGAAACATGTCTTTACAACAAATCTGGCACCATATAAAAGTTATGAAAAATGTAGCCACTCGAACCAATGCATTTCCTAATAACTTGGCTGATCAGTTTCTTAATTCACTTACTTCGGATACGGTAATTAACGACGTCAACATACAGGACATGGAAAAAAATGACGAACTAGAAGGTCCCTTTACCATTGATAAATTACGTTTGGCACTAAAAAGGAATAGTAATACTGTGCCGGGTAATGACAATATACATTACCCCATGCTAAGTAACCTATCAGATAAAGAAAAAAAAATTCTACTGAAGGTCTTCAACGACATCTGGACTAAAGAGATCGCTGTAAAAGACTGGAGGACATATATCACAATACCAGTCCTAAAGCCTAATAAGGATGCAACAAAAATAGAATCATATCGGCCGATTTCTCTAGCCTCATGTGTGTCCAAAACATTCGAACGCTTAATGAAAAGAAGAATCGAGTGGTGGCTCGAGAATAAAAAGAAATTGCCAAGTTATATGCAAGGTTGCAGAAACAAAAGAGGCACATATGATGTTCTAACTAGTTTCGTCTATGAAACTCTCAAAAACCTGGCCAAGAAAAATTGTGTAATGACAATCAACTTGGATTTGGAGAACGCATACAACAGGGTTCAAGTACCGATTTTAATAAACATTCTATATGAATTAAAACTCCCCAAGAGATTTTTTGTTCACATTTATCACTTATTGAAAGATCGAAAATTAGTCCTCAGATGTAAAGATACGCAATATGGGCCGCGGTATATGTCGGAAGGCTTACCTCAGGGTTCGGTCCTTAGTCTCTTGTTGTTCAACGTATACACGGCACACCTTCAAAATGAGATTGGCCAGGATTGCTCGGATCTTGCAATATGCAGATGATCTAATAGTAGAAGAGCCAGTGAACTATTTGACTAACCTGTTTTCACAAAGCCAGAAATTTTTTTAATGATATTTTATTATCGGCCCATTAAGAAAGTACCATTCTGGCAGTCATTCCGCGGTTGCGTCATCATCCCTTCAATTTGTGAAAATGTAAAAAAAACTGTTTTTATAACTTGCTCGCACAAGGCTCAAATTTTGAGGGTGTCTTCTTTTAACTGTTTAGAAAGCATATGTAAAAAGCCAGCCCATTCTGACGGTTGCAAGGGTCTGCCAGACGAGTACATAATAGTCACGACGCGCAAGAGTGTGGGCGCATTGCCATACATAATTGACTAATACCCTTGTATTTGAATAATTAATACGCCATTTTAAAGGTCATTTTGAAAACATCCGTTATACCAAACTTCAACTTTGTATCTCACCTTATGGCCGAGATATCATTGAAAATATGCCAAAGTGGCCCCTTTTTCAAACTCAATTTTTGGCGTAACCATAAAAGATATCGAAAAAAAATTACGTGATTCTACTCATATTGGCTTAAATCACATAATGTACAGTAAAAAATGCTAAATAATCCTTCATTATTAGCTAAAAAGGATAAAATAATTTTTCAATTAATGTTTTCGGATAGTGTGTTTTGTTTAATTACTTTATTATTAGTATTATTTAAAAGCTTATTGTTTTCTCTTTTAGTACTTCAAATATGGTTTAAATCAAATTTGTGGAACACATTGAAAAATTGAAGAAACCAGAACCAGTACACCCGCGCGAAACGCTAATAGTAGCCCGCATAGAATTCGTTCGGTCGGATGTGCGATGCGTTACGCGCGGGTGTACTGGTTCTGGTTTCTTCAATTTTTCAATATGTTCCACAAATTTGATTTAAACCATATTTGCAGTACTAAAAGAGAAAACAATAAGCTTTTAAATAACACTAATAATAAAGTAATTAAACAAAACACACTATCCGAAAACATTAATTGAAAAATTATTTTATCTTTTTTAGCTAATAATAAAGGATTATTTAGCATATATTACTGTACATTATGTGATTTAAGCCAATATGAGTAGAATCACGTAATTTTTTTTTCGATATCTTTTATGGTTACGCCAAAAATTGAGTTTGAAAAAGGGGCCACTTTGGCATATTTTCAATGATATCTCGGCCATAAGGTGAGATACAAAGTTGAAGTTTGGTATAACGGATGTTTTCAAAATCACCTTTAAAATGGCGTATTAATTATTCAAATACAAGGGTATTAGTCAATTATGTATGGCAATGCGCCCACACCCTTGCGCGTCGTGACTATTATGTACTCGTCTGGCAGACCCTTGCAACCATCAGAATGGGCTGGTTTTTTACATATGCTTTCTAAACAGTTAAAAGAAGACACCCTCAAAATTTGAGCCTTGTGCGAGCAAGTTATAAAAACAGTTTTTTTTACATTTTCACAAATTGAAGGGATGATGATGCAACCGCGGAATGACTGCCAGAATGGTACTTTCTTAATGGGCCGATAATAAAATTTCATTAAAAAAATTTCTGGCTTTGTGAAAACAGGTTAGTCAAATAGTTCACTGGCTCTTAGACTATAATATTATCACATAGTGGAGTGTCATTAAATGATGTGATCAAATAAATGAATCAGACCATGACGTCATTTGGAAAATGAACCACATTACTGGGATTTTCACTTTCCGAGAATAAAAGTGCAGTATTCACCAGACAAAGGAATTCTATTGCCATGGAGTCAATAAAATTAGCTAGATACACCTTAAAGATACAAACTACCACAAGATGTCTGGGTTTGATTATACATAACAAATTACAATGGGGTCCACATTTGGAAAATCTGGCAAGAAAATGTGAAGATGCATTAAATATCTTGAGAGTATTAAATCGCATGATGTATGGCGCTGACGTGAAGGTTGCAATCAGGATATATAAACAGCTTATATTATCTAAACTCGATTATGGCTGCTTCATTTATGGGGATGCAAGTAAAAATTTACTGCGCAAACTGGATACCCTGCAAAATAAAGCTGTGAGGTATTGCCTTGGAGTTTTCGTTCAACGCCCATTAACGCCTTACATGTGGAAGCACATATAATGCCTCTGCATTTGAGGAGGAAACTGTTAGCAACGAAATTTTTTATTGACAGAATAAGGTCCAATAACGTAGAGGTGATACAAAAAATTAGTAGTGCTAACAACTGTCAGAACAAACAATATTGGCAAAATTAGAAGAAAGCTATTCTTATGTCGGTGTTCTCAGAACTTTGTAATACATATAGCAGTCCAATTGATTTGGGGTATAGGTTAGAAATTGAAGATAAAATTAAAAACACGTTTCCGGACTTCGAGGTTTTTTCACAGATGGTTCAGAAGGTTCTGAGGGCGTAGGTGCTTGCATCTATCATCAGAACACTAACTTATATACTAAATATAAGTTAGATATAAATGCGTCGATTTATACAGCTGAAATGTACGCCTTGGCTTAGAGAAAGTGTTGTATTCAGTGATAGCCGATCATCTTTAGAGAGCCTGCTATCTATAGGCAGAGACCCAAGTTTTTTAGTGTTAGATACTCTTAATCATATACATAACATACTCTCAAAAAAAAATCCTTTTACATAATTTGGATCAAGAGTCATATCGGAGTAACAAGGAATGAAGCTGTTGACAAAGGAGCAAAAGATGCAATAAGCACGGATATAATCGTAGAAGATGGAATATCCCACCAACATATCAAAACCCTCTTTAAGGCAAAAATATATAAGGAGTGGCAATTGGAATTCCAAGAGTCAAGCCGTGAAAAAGAACAATTTTATGCAGCTATACAAGAAAAAATTTCCGTCAGACCATGGTACGACAAATTTACAAGGAGTCGTCATTTTTACTGCATTTTTAATCGTCTGAGAGCCAATCACACCTTTACAAATTACCACTTGAATAGGATCGGAACTAACATCAATCCGTACTGTCTTTGTCTTGGCGAAGCAAATAATGCAGATGCCAATCACCTAATTATGGAATGTAGACATATGGAGAAAAAAAGAGAAAAACTATGAAATAAATTAACAAAACTGAGGATTCCACTTCCCACAAACCTGAGACTGATGTTGGCAGACACTGTAACATATGATGCTATATACGAGTATATATGTGAAACTAGATTGATGGTATAGAGATTCAACATAGTATATTGAATCATATTAAAATTAGGCGTATATGTGTATAGATGTGTGTTTGTGTATATATATGCGTATATGTGTATATGTATATATGTATATATATATATATATATATGTATATATGTGTGTGAATGAGTATGTATGCATGTAGATTTATATATATATATATATATATATATATATATATATATTAGTCTTAATTTTTATAGTTGTGAAGTTCTTTAGATAATGGCCAATGTACAAGCTTACAAAACCAATAAAAATAAATTAAAAAAACTCATATGTTTATTGCATTAAATGTAAATACTTGAACCGCACATTAATTATCAGTGTTATATATACTGTGTTATACCGTTATACCATGGTTCACAAGAAAGTTCTCGAAGCGTTGTTTCAGAAATTTGTTAAATCTTTAAGTAAAAACAATAATAATAGTGTATAAACTGTGATAAAATTAATAAAACTTATTGTGGTGATAAAATATTACTTTGTGAAATTAAAAACGAAACTTGGTGTGTGAAATTGTGGTGAATAATAGAATCAATGGTGTATAATATGAAAAAATAATTTGTTATAACCTCACTAACATGGAAAATAAAATGAACAAACAAGTAAACTCTTAATATCTCAAATGATTAGTACTTATACACACACAAACATTAATTATGACACGAAAAGTTATATCATAATTATTAAATATATTTTAAATATTAATGTTCTATATTCATGAAAAATGATATGTAAATTGTAATAAAATTGATAAAAGTCAACATATTGACTATTTAAAAAATGTATAAATTTACTCAGAATACATATTTTTTTTATTAATGGTGTTTGTTCAAAATTAATTAAATAATATTTAATATTTCAGAATATAGGGTCAATAATTTTGAGTATAATTTATATATGTTTTTCAATATGATGTAAATATTATTTTTACATATTCTCCTCATATTCGGAATATGGGCGTAATTTGGAAAAATGTTAAGCAAATCACATAAGCTAAATATCATATTCCCGTATTCGTCCCTCATTCCGAATCTGAGCGGAATAAGGCCGAATGTTAACAAAATCATATGGGCTCAATATTGGAAAACAATATTTAGCTTACGTAAAAAACATATTCAGCTCGGATTCGTTTCTACTAGGGTATATATGTGTGTGTATATTATATATATGCATATATATATATATATATATATATATATATATATGTGTGTATATTATATATATATATATATATATATATATATATATATATATGTATAGAAATTATAAATTAATAATATAAATATTATCTAGTGCCTATTATATTGCAATTATGACAACTGACCAAAATCCCAAAGTAGCCTTAGAGAAATTTGAAAGCCATCTCAACAAAATCGGAACCTGGTCCATAATATGCAAAATAAAAATCTGTGGTACCGCCATTATATATATATATATATATATATATATATATATATACATATATCTTCTATATATATAAAAATAAGTCGGGTTTTCCTTCCTGACGAAATAACTCCAGAACGCACGAACCGATTTCGACAATTTTGCATTCGTTGGAAAGGTCTCGGGCTCCGCAAGGTTTATAGCTAAGAAAATTAGTTGTGCATGGCATCGTGCCTTAATACAAGCTGCTGGAACTTCACGCACCGTAATTAAAAATTCGAGTAATAAAAATAATCAATAACTGTTTTAAATAATTTCAAATAGATTATATATATATATAAATAATAATAATATATAATAATATCTCCTATATATATATAAAATTAAGTCGGGTTTTCCTTCCTGACGAAATAACTCCAGAACGCACGAACCGATTTCGACAATTTTGCATTCGTTGGAAAGGTCTCGCAAAGCTCAGCAAGGTTTATAGCTAAGAAAATTAGTGGTGCATGGCATCGTGTCCTAATGCAAATTGCTGGAACTTCATGCACCGTAATTAAAAATTCGAGTAATAAAAATAATCATCAATTGTTTTAAATAATTTCAAATAGATTATCTACATATATCTACACATATATATATATAGATATATATATATATATATATATATATATATATATACAGTAGTATCCGATTAGTATGACGCCGGATATATTGACAACCGCTTAATATGACGTAATTGCACTAGGAATTTAGTTTCCATATAAAACTCCTTAAAAAAAACAGCTGTCTAGTCGCTTACATTGACATGTCGCTTATAATGACTCATTTTTTGCAAAAAAATATGTCCAATTATAATGACCGACATGATTTTGCATGATGTGGCCAAGTCTACGAAAGCAATTGCTATGTCTTTTGTGCACAATAGCACAAAGGACTGTTTTTACAATAAAATTATGTAAAGAAATCAATCAAAAATTACTGATTATTACATTGAAAAAACACATTTGTATGTTTATGGTTATGGTAGACTAATTATCATTGGCCCACCACGGATATCTCATAAACAAATAAAACTAGATTTTTTAACAATTATATTTGATAGTAGAGGGCGAAAAATGTATAAATTCATAACCAGCCATCACCTTTATTCTTATGACTTTGCTATCAGAAGATAAGCAGCATATGACTGCGATAAAAAGGACCAGCAGAACCTTTACTTTGGCAAAGGTGTAAGCAATAAAATAGTAAAGTTTAAAAAAAGCCATTTTTCAAGAGATTAATTGAATAAATTATTATTCCGGCTCTTCTGATGAATATTTTTGATGAATAGCAGATCAATCTAATATACTGTGTTGTCTTTGTAACAAATGTACCCACGGAATTAATATTTTGCATTGGTTCATGGCTTTAAAATTTAATAGAAGAAATTGCATTTGTTCGCCCCCTGGTTGTTTCACTTTACCCCGTATGTGAAGTAAAATGGGTCAGATACCAAATGTTTAAAAAATAGTAAAAAATATAATATTTATATACATAATTAGGAATTATGTACGTATGTATGTAAGTTTTTCTGAACATAGTTCGATAGATGCTTATTTGGTGTATGTTATGTGTTGTTCATTGGGTTCAGACAATATAATTACCGTAAGTCAAATTGGACCGTTGTGCCCCCGCCCTACCCTATGTCAATTTTATTTTATATTAAATTTTAATGTGTCATTTTTATTTTTAATTAAAACGTTTGTATAGGCTTTTCTTTTAAATTACTGAAACATGTAACATATTTGCATATTAAAAAGTTTTTCTTCAGTACGCTTTTAATGACGACCGGTTAGTATGACGAGATTTCGGCGTCCCTTCGATGTCATACTAAGCGGATTCTACTGTATATATATATATATATATATATATATATAGAATAGAATAGAATAGAACTTTATTAAAATTCAATAGTTACAATTTAAGTCATTTACAATACATAATTATTCTAAAAATTCATTTATAAAATAATAGGGATTATTTAGTAAATAATTTTTAACAATATTTTTAAAGGTGAATCTTGTTTTGCATCTCCATCCATCAGGTAGCTTATTATAGATCTTGGCTCCCAATGTAGTTCTTAGCGATGATTTAAGTTTCATTTTTGGACATATCACTGCATTTTTATTCCGCGTATTGTGGTCGTGGACATCACTTCTCAATAAATGATTAGTTTTATCCGCATGCACCGCAATAGCTTGTTGCCAAATATAAATGTTTGTGACAGTCAAAATTTTGTGTTTTATGAATAGCGGCCTGCAAGGCTCCCGAGGTGAGACTTCTTCTATTGCTCTAACCGCCTTCTTTTGTAGATCCATAACTTTAGAAGTGTGTGCACTATGTCCCCAAGCTAATATTCCGTATGAAAGTACAGAATGGAACATAGCAAAGTAGGTTTCCCTGGCACATTCCTGGTTTATTATGGATCTAATTCTTCTAATGACATAAATGGCTTTCGAGAGCCTTGCGCATAGCAACTCTATATGTTTGGCCCAGGTCAGCAAACTATCCATTGTTAGTCCCAAGTATTTGACTTCACCGCCTTGAAGTTCAACATGTCTTCTATTAGCTGTAAAATTAATAGAAACAGTTTTGTTTTTATTCAGAACAATTTTATTGGCGAGAAACCACTCTTCAGCTTGTTTATAAGCATTTTGCCTCTTTTCATTCATAACTTTTATGTCTTTGCTTGCAACTGCTAGTGCCGTATCGTCTGCGAACTGAGTCGAATGGCAATTCAAGTTGGAGGGCAGGTCATTCACAAATATTAGGAATAGTAGCGGACCTAAAATACTGCCTTGGACAATTCCAATATCTGGCACAACTTCTGCATTACTGAGCTTATATTGCCAGTCAACGAATTGTTGACGATTCGTGAAGTAGGATTGCATCAGCGTTAACGGAACACCTCTCAGTCCATAATATTCAAGTTTTTTTAGAAGTATTTTGTGTGGTACGCAATCGAATGGCTTACTAAGGTCACAGAACAGCGCATCGCAATGTTCATGATTCTCTAAAGAATCTTGTATAAAATTTAGAAAATTTACTATGGCGTCGATCGTATTCAACCCCTTTCTAAACCCAAATTGACTGTTGTTTGAATAGTTATTGGCTTCAAAGAAATTTAGTATTATTGAGGTCAACAACATTTCAATCAGTTTAGAAAATACAGGCAGTATGGCGATTGGCCGATAATTGGATGCATCTTGGCGTTCTCCGGATTTATACACTGGAATGATTCTCGCCAGTTTCATTTTATCTGGAAACTGTCCTGTAGCGAATACACTGTTCACGATTGCACAGAACGGTGAAGCTATATACTCGGCTACTGGTTTGATCATTTTAGCGTTTAGTCCAAAAGCGTCAAGTAATGTCTTGTTTTTCATCTGTTTAATCGCTGTAACAATTTCTTCTGGAGATGTTGGTCTCAGGAACATACTTCGCCTACTGACATATACCTTAGCTAAATAAGCTTCGGGTCTAGTCTTTGCGTCGAGCAAGTCCTTGGTTAGATTGACAGCTACATTCCTGAAAAAATGATTAAATTCGTTTGCTGATGGCGTACCAATTCCGATATTATTTGAATATTTTTGACCTGTTTCTTGTTTTATTATATTCCATATAGTTTGTTGTTTATTATCTGATTTAACTATATTCATTACATTACTTTGTTGACGTTCCATTTCCATCTTATGGTTATATAATCTTTTATAATGTTCAAAGTATTGTTTCAGATCAATTCGCTGTGACTGTTTAAAAGCATCATATAGAAAATCCACAAGTTCTTTGAGATTTCGTAGATTTTCTGACTGCGCCGTAATTTTGTTTTTGTTTATCAATATGCGTTTGTAAAGAAACGCGTTGTTTGCTATTTGTTTAAAAATATTCAGAAAAATATTGAATTGTTTGTTGCTATCTTCAGTCTGGTCCAGGCAATTCCAATTAACTCGAGATAGTTGTTTTTTGAAGTGTTCCATGTTTTTTTCATTTATTTTTCTTATTATGCGGATGTTCGCGTTGGAAGAAGAAGTTTTGAGATTCATAATCAATGCTTCGTGGTCGGAGATCGAACATGATAAAGTATCAATTATGAATTGGTCTGATTGTAAGTTTGTGAATGCATTATCGATGCAAGTTTTAGAGTTCACGTTGATGTGTGTTGGTTTCATTAACCCATGTTCCAGTCCAAAAGTGGAAGCAGAGTTAATTAGCGCAATTTTATCATTCGAATCTACTAAGAAATCCACATTGAAATCACCGCATATGATGACTTTAGTTTTCGATTCGAATGTGTTAAATATGCGCGTTAGTATTTCTTCAAGTTTTAATAAAAACATATTTAAAGTCGAATTTGGCAATCTGTAAATAACAATAATAATTGTTTTTATTTGTTTTAATTAACACGCCGCTACTTCGCATGCAAGCTCAGCAGATTGCACTGCAATGTCATTTAATTCGGCGCAGTCAAGGTGATTTCGGCAAAATATTGCAACTCCGCCATGTATGTGTTCACTACGGCAAAAACTGCTGATCAGCCGAAAGTCACGAATATTAAATAAATTGATTTGTTTGTCATTTAACCAGTGTTCTGTCAGACAAAGTAGGTCAATATTATTTACGTTGACTACATTTGACAAAGCAGCTGATTTATTTGATAAGCATTGAATGTTCAGGCAGAGTATATTTAATATATTTACTTGTCGTTGCTTGGTTGCTTTTGGAGCCTGAATAAAAAACGATCCACGCATACTCCTTGAGGCCATATTTCCGGCGATTTAATTTTTTCTAATTCTGATTCCAAAACTGATACCTTGAATGATGAATATACGTTTGGATGTTTGGATGCAATTTTTTTGTACGTTACGTTTTCGAAATTTTTGTCCCACAGGTAATTTTCCAATTGCTCTTCCGTTTTTTCTGGCGCCAGTCGAAACACATGTAGATGCGCTTGCTTCACCACATCTTTTATCACGGCATTTGCATTTGTGCCTTCGATAGTTGTGGCCTTTCGCCTTGGCGCTTTCTTTCTTTGGACCAAAGTCCAATTTTGTTCTTCTGTTACGCTCTTATTGTTGGTAATGGCGTTGGAAGGCAAAGCAGTAGACGCCACGGCATCACGGAACGTTTCAATTTTCCGCTCTTCCAGTTTCTTCAGCGCCGTTGCTACTGCGATACTAACTTGTTCACTTGAGATTTTGCTGGGATCTTTTTCCTTGTTAACATTCGATTTCTTTCCATTCTTTTTTTTTGATTTCTTATTGACTGCTTTCTCAGTATCGATATCAATACTGGGTGCAGCTGAAGAAACCTGCTCCTTCTTTTGATTCGGATTTACCCATTGCAGCAGCTTGATTTTATCCTCAAGCTGCTGAATTATGTACTCCTTATCCTTTATTATGGTAATTTTGTCTTCTTTTATGGTGTTTTTGTCGGCAATTATTTTTTCAAGCCTAGAAATTGTTTCCATATGGTCACTGTACACTTCACTGTTAACACAACACTGTATCAGATTACGATATAGAAATTTGAAGTTTTTCCTATTAGCACAACTAATGTGGTACATTTTTCCGCAGTTTTTACAAATGCCTACATTTGGGGCCTTTGTTTCACAGCAATTATAGGAACTTTTCACTTCCGATTCTGGCACTAATGGTGTCGATTGCGACATCATTGCGGCAAGTTTAAACGGCACGTCTGTACGTTACGGCGGTCAACGAAAGACTAATCCAACTAAACTCAATATATATATATATATATATATATATATATATTGTGACGAGAAGAGGGGTGATGCTCCCTTTCTGGGGGTATTGCAACGACTTCCATTATTACATCTAGCGTTGCATCCCCAATGAAAGGGTTACACCAACTCCTTAACCCGACTTCTTTAAACACCCTGTAATTACCTGTGGAAAAGCCAACTAACTACGCGAATGAAACAGAATGTACTTTTAGCTTATTTAATCATTACTAATTATTACAGGTGTAACGGCATGACAATACCTACGTACTGTCATGCCCTTTGCCTAAAGCCTAACGTACTCATAAATCTTTATTAATTACTAACGTAAAACGGTATCAACGGAGTAACGATAACGACGGAACGGAGAACGGAACGGAGGGAATAGTTTATAAAACCAATAATGCATCTGACCTTTACTGGAACGGGTTCTCCTCTCCTGGCACAACACACACACCACTATACACAAAGCGGGTCCAGCGCCTGGCGCGTGGACCCACTGACCTCCTCAGCGGATGATACAATTCTTAATGCTCACATTTCAACCCCAGACTGGACCTTATATTGGCATCCCTAGTAGGCGTAGGTGGGGGGTTCCATTGCACTGGTGGTTATGCAACCCTTTTGACGACAATACCAATTGTCGTTACACGCCCCCCTGTCACACTAGAGCCGGCCTCGGCTCTTAAATCCAAAGTTGAAATTATTGCCATCTCCTGTTTTTTCCGGGTTGTTTCGGTGTTCTTCCTAGGGTGCTGTTTTGCCCTTTGGTCCTCGTCTTTGGGTTGGATAGTTTAACTTGGTTGGCTTTGCTCAAGTGTGAGCCTTGGCTGCTAGACGACGATTGTAGTTGTGGTTGTGTGCTGGCCATCCTTTAGGTGTTGTGGTTCCGGTCAGATATTCCTAGAATCCTGGTAAGCTATTCCCCCTTTGTTTACAAACTCAAAACACGTAGCAGCTAGTAAACATAAACTAACATATGCACAGGTCTGATAAAAAAATACATCAACATCATTAATACAAAAAAAACGAAAACAAAATCCTTCAGTAACACAAAAATTACAATACAAAAATAAGTCCGTTTGCTTAAGACTATCTTAACTTATTTCGTTCTCAAAGAAACCGTGATGGGAAAAACTGTACTCAGTAAATTCAGAAAAAAAAAGTAAAAACAAGACTAGACTCAGAAAAAAAAAGTAGTTATATAACTCAGACTAGCAAAAGACAAAAACTTAATAAAAAAAAATATTCGAAGTACAATCGTTTTTCGTACAATTTTTCGTAACACGTTTCTTTGAAACGCAATCTTATCCTATGTGCGTGTGCTGTCACCTATTTTTTTGGTTGTAGTATTAGTAATGGGATAACCGTAGCCCGAATTATAAATTAGTTCGCCAGAAACTATGAGCCCGATGATATGGACAATCTTTTACTGTGTAACGCGCGGAAAAACTTTGAAAAGGAAAAAAACCGAAACTAATATGACAATAAACAAGAAACAAAAATACACCTCAATTTACAAAATACGATTATTTAAATAACTAGTTTACTTTTACGGACGCGACGATTACAGTAATTCAATCTCTACTGGTGTGATTGCCCCCCAAATACAAGACCACAGATGGGGGCTAGGATCTAGTTTTCCTTCATTGCTCCCCCCGCAGAGCCCCATACCAATAATAATATCTCTAAACCGACCGTCTATGCCCACCCAATAACAAATGGCACTTACACTTAACACCTATGTAAGCGGGACACACCTGGGGTTCCTCAGCCCGGCACAAAAGTACCCCAAATTGCCCCCTTGACGGGAGATGGCGTGCTGCGACCTATGTCGCCATCCCGGTCTTCGCTGAAGGTACCTTCCCAAAAATAATCCATAATAATCCATAATACATAATAATTCACATAATAATTCGACGGCTGCGGGGTTGATTAAGGGCGGTTTTCCCGATTGAAACCGTACGCGTCCATCGATTCGGACATCTCAATGGTCCTCGTTCGTGGACTACTGGGCCCAGCTTTCAACTCATATATATAAAACCATAAAACAAAAGCGTAAATCCGATATGGCGTTCCGATATAAGCCTTAATACTTATATTCATACTATGTACTCGAATTGACAAACCTACTTTCAACAGCCATCCTAAATCTGAGTGATATAACAGTCCTTGTATATCATACCTAACTCTAAACTTATTCCTATTTCTTATCTAAGAGTAATATGCAAGAGGGAAAGATTAAGAATAAAAAAGTAATTTTATTTTTTTTTAACCGCAAATTCTTTATCTTTCGCTTCTAGACCGAAACGATTTCTCGATCTACTAATATAGACTGTGTCGCACGAATTTAAAAATCTTGTGAATCGAGTCCAGCTCGTTTAACACCACCGTACTGTCGCTTGCCTCGGCCGCCCGGACTAGCGCTACGTCACTAGGCAGCAGGCCTACTCTACGTTGTAGTAGAAAAAAAAAGGGATGATAAGGGTTACGACACAATCTTTCCTTTTACATATTTGTAATTACAAGTATAATTAATTTAAATCTAACGAAGTACGAAGTTAATACTATCTAACAACCTATAGGAGCTCCTTAAATTATTTTTTTTATTGCCATCATGCCACCATGAACCATTTTGTTGCCATATCGGATCCCTTAATCTGGATTGGGCGGTCAAAAACACGAGCCAATAACTATTGACGAGGCAGAATTAAAGTATCAATAAAAAATAAAATCGTAATTTGTCCATATAAAAGGGCGTCACGCAAATTAATCAAAACGCCGCCGGTATAAACGCAGTAATACACTACCAAAGCTCGTTTGGTTTGATTTACGGTAACATTATCAGTGAACAACAAAAAACATACGACGAAAATAATAGTTTATATTCATCCTTACTCATTTTCATACTTGACATGATATAAACCTATTATATAATAATTCATAAACAATAGGGCCACTATAACGCATTCAACTTTTCGACTAAAAAAATTGCCCTCTATACTCTCATTACCTTGTAGCAAAGGCTATAAACTCTATCCGTAAACCAAACCAAACCTTTCGCGACGCGCGGTGAAAAAAAACGACACAACGACAAATATATATATAAAAAAAAATAAAATCTAGTATGTTAAAATGGCGAACAACGCGGATAATGCAATAATAATAAGTAGGATAAAAACACTAAAAATGACGAAGTTACGCGTATGATATAAAGCTAATTTATTATGAAATAGTAAAATATTAAAATTAGTAAAATGCAACATAAAACTTAGTATAAAAAAAGAAATTAGTATGATCAACGAAAGAGAAAAAAAAATATAGTTAGTAAAAAGCGAAAAAGAAAAAAAAGCGAAAAAAAATGCCTTTAGCCGTTTACGCATCATTCCGAACAATACATGAACGTTCATCTAATTGCCGAACTACAAATACGTATATTGCAAATCCGGGTTCTACCTTTGCAATTGTCTCTGTGTTTGTAGAAATACGACTTTTCGAAGGGAAATGTCACCTGCCCACCCGCTCTATTTAACCAAGGTTTTCTAGGCCTTTGGTTTCCAAGCCACATAATACGTCGGTCAAACTGATCGCCTTAGCTGCCATTATGAATTATGGTGAAAAGTCGTATCCTATTATTAATTAATAAATAAGATCAATTAGATGAAGCCGCGAATTGAGCACTAAGCAATGACGTTCCGGCGGGAATGAGAACGCCATTAATACGCGTAAGAAAAAACGAACGAAAAAAAAATAGAAAAGTACAATATTAAAATCGATAAAACTAGATTCATTATTGCATCACCCTACTGAAAAAACACGAAAATACACGACATTAAAATATTAAAAAAAAAACGAATAAAAAACATACTAATACTACAAACCAATTACATAATACAAATGTATTACACAACCCTCCAGCTGGTCAGATACAATTAGCATGTCTATGATGTAACGATTAAGAGAAAAAAAAGTTACAATAAACTCGAAAATAACATTAACATCTTGGTTCGGCACTTTCCGCCTGCTATTACAATTTTTTTTAAACTCTTCGCGTTCTCTACGCAATTTTTATCCACATACGCGGCCTTTGCGCCCCTTGTTACCGCGCGTTTCCTCGAAAATTCACTTCATTTTCAAATCATAGACATGCTAACTACTATTCCCTCCGTGAACAACAATAAAAACAAACATACTCCTTTTTTAAAAATATTTGCTAACTCTTTGGTTAATTCTCGACGATACAAAACTCAATTAATTTCACTTTCAATGATGAAAAAAAACAAAACTTATGCCAATGTTGGATTGTGAAACCCATACTTAAATTATATAAAACAAAACTAATCCTAATTATCCTAAACCTATCAAAATCCTAACTAAAATGTTACTAACTTATTAAGGAAGTACAAATCTTTACTAGCCTAATAACTTATGTAATATTTTAAATAATACCTAATAAATAATATACCTAATAAAATCTTAACTAAAAATATGAAAATCTTCATAACTTATTGAGAAAATACAAACTCGCAAAATAATAAAAAGTATCAATCTTACTGATACTAAATATACTAATAGATACTAAAGTATCTATCTATACCTATCATGTTCTAAGTAATTCTGTCTCATTCACAAATCATCTCGAAAGAATTATGCAATTACAGGGTTCATTAAACATCGCGAATTAGATTAACGAAAGACAAACAAAACGACAATAAAAAAATAATAATAAAAACAACTCAATACTATTTGCGTTTATCTGTACTACCTAATTATACTTATATTATTTAGTATAAAAAAAAGAATATACGAAAAGTGAAAGTTTTTTTTTTGAATATGGATTATTTCAAGTATGCGACTGGCGCCGCAAACTGTGCAAAAAAACTTAACGGTTCTGTCGCGTTGCGTACGGCACTACGGCACCCCGTCGATAGGGTCAAAAATTGTCAAGTGCTGAGGCATAACAGAGACGTTGGGATTGTCAAAAAAACACAATATATTTAAGATCTGTATATAAACGTATCAATGAAAAAAAATACTAGGGATTACTGAAACATAATATTTGCCTATTAACTGATTTCGAAGACAGAAAAAAAAACGATTTGCGTGTGGCATAGGGTCAAGTGTACGGAACTTGAGATTTACGAAGAAAACGAAATATATTTTGTTGGGCCATGTGTTTCAAATCTTTCGAACTAGCCTATCAAAACAAAATACTTGAAACGACTCGAAAACTGTGTGACGATTTATAAGTGGCTTTACAGAAATTGAAATTGATAGCCAGAGGAAACAAAATGAAACAAACACAACAAGTAAATAAATCCCCTTTTAAAATAAAATTAATTGCATTTTTGTAATATTATATCCAGAAAAAAAAGAAAATAGAATGAGCACACACAACCATTAAATGAAATCTGATTTTAAAATAAAAATAGTACATCTAAAATTTTTTGTAAATTTATAAAGTAAATAGGTTAAAATTCAATCAGTTTAAATAAGTTAAGTAACTTTGAATTAGCTAATTTTATATACTTTTTAGAACTAAACTTAACAAATATTAGGTGACAATTATAATATTGACGCAAACCGCAGCCAAAACAATAGATTTGGTTAAATAAAATTAAACTAGATTATTACATATTCCATATTCAAAACATTAAACAAATAAAAATCACTTATATTTTCAACGTAGTAAAATTCTACTAAAATTAAAACTACGTCACCGAGAAAAGTACACAATAGAAATGAAAATACACAGATAAACACAAATAGTAATACGCGTGAAAAATACAGTTATAATTACCACCTGATTTACGCAATATTCAAATTTTAGATTTACTAAATTTACCGAAAAACGTACTATAACAAACAAAC